TCTCGCTCTCGCTCTCGCTCTCTGTCTCTCGCCCTCTCTCTCTCTCTCTCTCTCTCTCTCTCTCTCTCTCACACGCACTTGCAGCCAGAACGGATGTGCTAGCGAGCTGGCGAGGACCTGAAGGAGCTTTCCATCTACGGTTTCTGTGTGCGGGGCTTGGTCGTTGCGTAGCGGCTAGGCCCGCCAGGCAGTGCAAAACCTGTGTTAGAAAGGAAAAGACAAGACAGGACACCTCAGGTGTTGCTCGGCGGGGGGGGGGGGGCCGAGCCTGGTGAAGGGCCATTTTGACTCGCGGTTTCCTGGTGCCGCCTCCCATCCTTCAGAGCAGTTGCAAGGACAGGAAAAGCGGATGAAAGAGGTTTGAACGCTGCAAGAGCCGGAACATCTCAGGCTCACAACCTTTCAGCTCCAAAGCCTACAGACAGACAAAATTGCTTTCACGTTGGAGGCGGCAGACTTGATTCGAACCTCAAGCCAGCAACAGGAGGATGATTAAAGCATTCCGGCATGGACTTACGAATTAAGAGTTCGAGGCAGTTTCGCGCATAGTCGCCGGGGCCTTGAAACCACTGAGTCCGGCAACTACGATGCCTTGATGCCGTCTTGCAGCGCAGGCTGGGTCGTGTCCTCAGCTTTCTCGCAGCTTGATATGTGAAGACCACGAGGCATTGCCAGACTCGGTGTTGGTATGGATTCTCTTCGGTTTACTCCTTGAAGCTTTTGTTCTCGGTTCTTACTATGTTTACTGATTTGGAAATCTCCAACTGGACTTTCGCCACTGTCGGCCAAGCCATTGCTATAATGCCATCAAAGCGTAGTGGTTCGGGTCTAATTCAATCACCCGCCACAGGTCAGCATCATGCCCATTGACATGCATGATGCTGACTTGTGGCAGGTTCTGCCTGAATCGATGCCTTGCGTCTGCCGGAACAATCGCTGCCCAGTGGATGCTCGTGATTCTAGTATGTGGAGGGGGCTGGCGAAAGTGCTGTCCGGATGATGGTCGTTCTGAACTGTGGGGCAGGTGCCGGCTAACACGCTGCCCAGCTGATTGATGCGCAGGATGCGACCCTGGCCGGGTTCTGGTGACCTGTGATGGATGCCGGCTAAAGCGCTGCCTGGCGGATGCGTGCAGTTGTGATGCGGTTCTGGTCGTGGGCAAAGTGCTGCGAAGATGATGCGCATGATGCTGGCGTGTCAGGTCTTCCCATGCCTTGGTCCGGCTGATATGCTGACTGGGTTCCAGCGACCCGTGACGGATGCGGACAGCATTTCCTCCATCTGTTGCGGTGTTCCAGTCCCGTAGATGTGGCTGTCGTTTGGTTCCTCAGTTGACAGGAAGGATGTCCCGGTCGGTCTGTGTTCGGCTTTCGATCAGTGGAAGTCCTTGTCGCCCAGTGCCCTTAAAGCTTTCGTCTTTGTCTTTGCATCTGAGAATCTGAGGCAGATCGCTGCTTCGGCGAGTTCCACTGCCTCAAGGAGCTCGGCCACCGATAGCACAGGGATGAGGAGGGATACTCGGAGCTGCAGAGAGGATTTCATAGGTTTATTCGGGAGTGCAAGTCGAAATGGGCAGTTCCCAAACATCCCAAAACCGTATAAACCCGTAAACCCCGGAACTTCTTTTTGAGCCCCCCCGAATAAAAACCGTAAAATAAACCCCGGAGCTTCTTTTTGAGCCCCCCATTTTTAAAATCCGCCAGGAGTGGCTGGTGGAGCGACTCCTCGAGGTGAGGGCGCGGGGTTGGCTTTGCCTTCGCGGCGTCCAAGAACTCTGGGATTCTTTTCCGGGTTTGGGCCTTTACGGCCAGGGTTCGTAGGGAAGCCGGAGAGTTTTTAGGTCCTCCTTTTACATCCGGATGCTCTGGGCTGGGCTTTGAGGTCTTCTCCTCGTGATTGGCAGTGCTGCAGCTGGAAGGGGTTTTGAAGATGAAGGCTGAGAGTTGATGGTGGTCCAGGAGAGGGCCGGAGATTCACGAAGCCCGACTCCGATTACGTCCTCCACGCCCTCAGCCGAACCTCCAAATCCTCAAGCCCCAAGCCTTGCAACTCTAAACCCTAAACTTCCCTAAGCCCGACAGCCAAGAGAGAGCTCCCTGAACCGATTGCGAACACGAGGATGGCCAGGCTCGTCGCTGCAGCTCAGGCGAGAGTGGGGGGGTTCCCAACATGTACAGATACATGCACATACATACATACATACATACATACATACATACATACATACATACACATATTTCTTTCTTTCGGGCGACACAACGTAAGAGCAATCCCCACAACGCAAGCAGAAGCGTGGCCAGGAGCGTAAGAAAGAAGGGAACAACGATGGATCCCAGGCAAAACAGCCAGGGGGCCTGCATGGCTCCCCCATCTGGCCCGGAAGCAAATGCAACAGTGGGCTGGTCAAGCACGGAGCAGAATCATGCGCAAACATCAGCAGTCTGCTTGCCATGCGGAGTGCCACGTGCTAATCTTGAGAGGATCTAATGTTCAAAAGATCATGCACGTCCTGGGAATTTCTTTTATGATTTTTTTTTTTTTTATGTTTTTTACGTTTTTCATTTATGGTTTGCTACGCTTGCCGCTTCAGGTTTACGAAATATTTATGAAATATTTCTGAAATATTTATGATTTATTTATGAAATATTTATGGAATATTTATGAAATATTTATGAAATATTTATTAAAATTCATGAAATATTTATGGTTTTGTACGCTTTGCATGTCTGTTGTTTATGTTTTTTACGTTTGCAGTAAGACTTGTTAGACCAATGGCAAGTTCCTACAAAATCCATGATTTTCCTAGGAAGCCTAGGATTTCCTAGCCCGGGGCAGCGAAAATCGTTAAAAAACGAATAGAAAATCATAAATTTTCCTTAAAATTTATGGAAAATTTATGAATTTTGTATGTTTTGGTTATGGTTTGGCTAGCCCGGGCTAGGAAATCCTAG